AAGGTTTGTGTGTGTGTGTGTGTGTGTGTGTGTATCGAAAAGTTTCTTTATATATAAAGTTGTCCCAAAATTTCATGTTTTTCTTTAAACGTTGTTTTTCTTATTATTTGGCGAATAATATTATTACGGCGAATACATAATAGAAAGACATTATACATAACGACGAATAATATTGGTTTATTAAATTTTTGCAAGTGTTTACGAACTTTTGAGGCAAAACCTTGTAATAATAAGGATTTAATATAAATAATTCTCAAAAATCAAATGGAATTGTTGTCTCTCTCAAAAATTTTCCTCAAAATACAAAATAATAGTAATGATAATAATAATCGAATATTAGATAATTAGAGAATCTGTAAAATCTACTATTTCGGTACAACTAAAAGATGGCACTAAAACATTCAATATTCATTTATAGAGGGCTAGTGACAAGGTTAATTTTTTGGGTCTTCGCATTATCTTTTGATTTTATTTCAAATATATTTTCAATATTTTTTTTCTCAAATTTTCACAAATCAAATCCCAATAGTGTTTATGCAAGAAACAAAAATTATAGCGAGTTTTAAATGATTCACTTCAATCTTTCTTATGCGCTTTAATTCGATGTTTCGGCAACCCGCTGTCGTTCTCTTCAAGGAAAATTTTGTACAAGTAAACTACACTCGTTGCTAAAACTTAAGGAAGTTGTATCTTTTAGCATGTATATCGGGATTTAGACAATAACTCTGAAAGATATTACAATGACCTTTATTGAAGACACACGAGATAACCAATATACACTCATTGCTAAAACTTAAGGAAGTTGTATCTTTTAGCATGTATATCGGGATTCAGACAATAACTCTGAAAGATATTACAGTGACCTTTATTGAAGACACACGAGATAACCAATATACACTCATTGCTAAAACTTAAGGAAGTTGTATCTTTTAGCATGTATATCGGGATTCAGACAATAACTCTGAAAGTTATTACAATGACCTTTATTAAAGACACACGAGATAACCAATATACACTCATTGCTAAAACTTAAGGAAGTTATACCTTTAGCATGTATATCGGGATTCAGACAATAACTCTGAAAGATATTACAGTGACCTTTATTGAAGACACACGAGATAACCAATATACACTCATTGCTAAAACTTAAGGAAGTTGTATCTTTTAGCATATATATCGGGATTCAGACAACAACTCTGAAAGTTATTACAATGACCTTTATTAAAGACACACGAGATAACCAATATACACTCATTGCTAAAACTTAAGGAAGTTGTATCTTTTAGCATGTATATCGGGATTCAGACAATAACTCTGAAAGTTATTACAATGACCTTTATTGTAGACACACGAGATAACCAATATACACTCATTGCTAAAACTCAAGGAAGTTATACCTTTAGCATGTATATCGGGATTCAGACAATAACTCTGAAAGATATCACAGTGACCTTATTGAAGACACACGAGATAACCAATATACACTCATGGACAAAACTTAAGAAAGTTATACTTTTAGCATGTATATCAAGATTCAGACAATAACTCTGAAAGTTATTACAATGATATTTATTGTAGACACACTAGATAACCAATATACACTCATTGATAAAACTTAAGGAAGTTATACCTTTAGCATGTATATCGGGATTCAGACAATAACTCTGAAAGATATGTGTTACTCAGTGACATTTATTGAAGACACACGAGATAACCAAGTGTGAACAAAATTTTCTCTGTCTCCTTAAAAATAAAAAAAGAAGAGAAGACGACATCAAATACCTTCCACTTCTTTAAGTTTTATCCATGAGTATATTCTGACATTTTGTAAGCGCAGTACCGAACTGCTTCTCACACATGTAGACATCAGGAAATATTCATATTTGATGATCTTACAACTGAAACTTTGCAGTTTCACAATCAGGAAATGATTTTTCCTTAATTCATCCACCTTATCCCAGCATAATTTTACTTCTATACCATAATTTTTTCAGATAAACACATAACTTCCTTAAACGTTTGGTCCATGAGTGTATTTTATAAAATGTTTGATCAGAATCTACCATTTTAAAACTTTTTAAATTATTAATTATACCAAAAACAGTATGAATAGTTTTTCTCTTTCTATCCAATATTTATAGGTAAGAACACTCCTGGAGTAAGTAGTTAAGGCCAGAATTGCGTGAGAACGTAAAACAATGTAAAAAAATAATACAAGTTTTGGCCATCAAGAAAGCGGCCTTCATGGATAGAATAGAAGATGCAGGATTGTATGTGTAAGAGGCCAATAGACATGTGGTAGGAGAATTTTAAGAGCTCCGTTTCTTGACTGATTAAGGAGAAAACATGGCCCTCTTAAAATTCTTGGATTAATGGAACCTAGGATCTTCCCAGTCTCGCGTTCTAAAGTTGTTTATGAAAGGCGCCGGTTGTAAATCCTGATAGGTTTCTGCATTTCCGACAGTAGTGACGATGGGAGATTGATGTGTGTGCGTGGGTTTGTTTTTTAATAATCAAATTTCAACTGCTATTCTTGTATGTAGATTTATATATTCGGTTAATTTATTCAGATCCACCCCCCCTCTCTCTCAATAAATAAATCTTGTTTAAACTTTTTTTCTCTTACACTTACTTTACTACAGGCTTTGGACGGGACTGGCGTTGGACTTTTAAAAGAAGCGGAGGCCATTAAAACGCACTTTATTTTTCTTCGGAAAATAGTACCTCAAGCAAGATTGGATCCCTTGTCGTGATAGTCAAAAACCGGCTGTTTATACACTAAATAAAAAATCTATTATATTTCATTTTCAAAATTTTAAATCATAAATTAAATTTTTTACACACACAGAGATATAAGTTGGAGATGAATTTGTGACAAATCATAAACGCAATCATATTGCCACGTGGAAAATTAGGGAAGACCAACTTCGGGATGGGAGAGCAATTTATTTCAGTCAAGAACAAACTATGAGTGATAAACAAAAGATAAGCAAAAGAGGGAAGTGTACAGAGTATATAAAAATATAAACATAAAAAGATAATACTCTACTAATAAAATAATGAATACTTTAAGTAGAACTGCTCTTCACTGAAAGTTAATAACGAGTTTACAAAGTGGGAAGAGGAGCTTCTTTTTATTAGCATGAACATAAGCTTTCGGACACATCGTCCTTCATCAGATAAGAGTAATAAACGCGCTGAGGATCCATATATACACAAAGCTGAAAAGAAAATTTACATAACTGCAAAAGATAAAAGTATTTAAAGATAAAAATAAAAATAAGAACCAAATATGCTAAAAAAGAGATTATAGGGATTAAATGCTAATAAATCTGGACTAAGTACATATGCACTATGAATGGTGTTAATCAAGGGCAGGCAAATGCTATTCACATAACATATGGTATTGTTCTGGTATATCTATATGCCTGTTGATGCTGTTTGTTTTTATTGACACAAATGCCTCTAGTAAAAGTCTTTGGTACTTATTATTGATATTGCTGTATAGAATGGATGGCTTTGATAGATTGAATGTATGACCGGTTTGTATAGAATGACTGTAAATAGGGGAATTTAGGTTTTTATTAGAGACGTTTCTGGAATGCTCAACCATTCTGATGGCGACGGATCTACCCGTCTCCCCGACATAAGTGGCATTACATTGGTCGCAAGAGACGGAATAGACAGCACCACCAGAACGGAGAGCACTCGCATGAAGGGAAGATCTGGTAATGGGGTGTCGGATTAGTGTGGCGATGTTAGGTGGGTTCTGGAAGTATGTTGTAATGCCATGGTGCCTTAAAAACCTGGCTATGGTGATAGACTGGGGGCAAAAAGGAAGGGAGCAAATATTTCTGTGTATAGCTGGAGCACTGTTGTGGTGAGGGTCATGCATGTGTTTAAGAATGAAGGGGGTCGGGTAGCCGGATTTGGATAAATATGAAAATATTTTAGCCTTTTCTATTGTTTGGAATAACGGGAGGGAACAATGAGTAAAGATACGTTTAGTGAGAGCTCTAACTGTATTGATTTTGTGTGATGTTGGGCAATGTGATCGGAAGTTTGTGTGGTGTGGGGGTGTGTTATTTTTATAGTATACTGTGGTATGGAAACTGCTGGGGGTGCGTATGACTAGTGTATCTAGGAATGGTAGGACTGAGTGATTTTCTGTTTCATGGGTGAAGGCTATGTCTGGGTGGAAGGAGTTGAGGTCAGATAGGATGTGAGAGGCAGATACCTCACTTACCAAGCAAAAGGTATCATCGATGTACCGCCTCCATAGAAAGATGTCTGAAGAATGGCGTGAAGTGATCCATTGGTCTAGTGACCTCATGACAACCTCAGCCACCACGGTTGAGAGGGGGCTACCCATGGGGGAGCCCTTGGTCTGCTTGAAAAACTGGGTATCAAATGTGAAGGTGGACATGCCTAGGCATATGGAAGTGAGCTCGACAACCGTCTCCGCGGTGAGGGTGTCTAACAGGGGGGCATTTTCGAGGAAAGTGCGTAAACTATTAATGATCAAGGGGTGGGCAAGTGAGAGATATAGAGACGTTACATCGAAAGAAACCATTATGGACCTGGGGGGAGGTGTGAGGCTGGTGATATAGGACACAAACGAGGGGGAGTTTGCAATGGTATATTCCCATGGGGGAGACTGTAGAAGGGGGGTCAAGAAGTTGGACAAAAATTTTGACAGGGTATATGCCGGAGAGAGATGGTAAGATATGATTGGTCGGAGGGGAACATCGGGCTTGTGGATCTTTGGAAGGCCGTAAATGTAGGCTATTTGGGCGAGGTTAGCTGTGAAGTCGTTATATTGCTCTTTAGTGATCTGCTGAGACCTTTTTAATCTTAACAATAGCAAACGGAAATTCTTAACGGATGTTTTATGATCCTGTTCAGTGATGGCAGAAAAAATGGAGTGTTGGTCGAGAACGTTTTGCATTTTTTGCTTGTAAACTGTGGTGTTGAGAATTACGGTTTGTGAGCCTTTATCGGATTTTGTTATGACTATGTCTCTATTGCGTTTAAGACGGGAGATAACCCTGTTCATGGCTAGGGACGGTTTAGGGATATTGTAGGGTCGTTGAAGGGTGGAGGTGACAAAATGTCTGATCCTATGGGTGTCTTGGTGGTTAAGGCCTCTGAGAGCGGGTTCCACACCAGCTAAGATGCGAGGAATATCAGAAGGCCCAGGCAGTCTGTATTTTAGGCCCAATGCCAGAATCTCAGCATCAGCAGATGGCAAGACATAGTCCGAGAGGTTGACCACTCCTTGGGGTGACTGGGGAAGATGGGCTTCTACTAGATAGGCAGGGAAGTTGTACTTCTTGATCCAGTGATGAAGCTTGGAGTTGTGACGTTGCGTTATATCGTTCTTCTGGAGCCGAATGTCCCTTGTGATGGATTGCAACAGATCGGCCATTTCTGGATTGGTTAGTAGCTGAGAGACCAGAAAGATCAATCCCTTGACGGACTTAGAAATAAATCGGATATTGGAATGGCAACCTTTGATTCACTCTCAACCGTGGTGGCTGAGGTTGTCATGAGGTCACTAGACCAATGGATCACTTCACGCCATTCTTCAGACATCTTTCTATGGAGGCGGTACATCGATGATACCTTTTGCTTGGTAAGTGAGGTATCTGCCTCTCACATCCTATCTGACCTCAACTCCTTCCACCCAGACATAGCCTTCACCCATGAAACAGAAAATCACTCAGTCCTACCATTCCTAGATACACTAGTCATACGCACCCCCAGCAGTTTCCATACCACAGTATACTATAAAAATAACACACCCCCACACCACACAAACTTCCGATCACATTGCCCAACATCACACAAAATCAATACAGTTAGAGCTCTCACTAAACGTATCTTTACTCATTGTTCCCTCCCGTTATTCCAAACAATAGAAAAGGCTAAAATATTTTCATATTTATCCAAATCCGGCTACCCGACCCCCTTCATTCTTAAACACATGCATGACCCTCACCACAACAGTGCTCCAGCTATACACAGAAATATTTGCTCCCTTCCTTTTTGCCCCCAGTCTATCACCATAGCCAGGTTTTTAAGGCACCATGGCATTACAACATACTTCCAGAACCCACCTAACATCGCCACACTAATCCGACACCCCATTACCAGATCTTCCCTTCATGCGAGTGCTCTCCGTTCTGGTGGTGCTGTCTATTCCGTCTCTTGCGACCAATGTAATGCCACTTATATCGGGGAGACGGGTAGATCCGTCGCCATCAGAATGGTTGAGCATTCCAGAAACGTCTCTAATAAAAACCTAAATTCCCCTATTTACAGTCATTCTATACAAACCGGTCATACATTCAATCTATCAAAGCCATCCATTCTATACAGCAATATCAATAATAAGTACCAAAGACTTTTACTAGAGGCATTTGTGTCAATAAAAACAAACAGCATCAACAGGCATATAGATATACCAGAACAATACCATATGTTATGTGAATAGCATTTGCCTGCCCTTGATTAACACCATTCATAGTGCATATGTACTTAGTCCAGATTTATTAGCATTTAATCCCTATAATCTCTTTTTTAGCATATTTGGTTCTTATTTTTATTTTTATCTTTAAATACTTTTATCTTTTGCAGTTATGTAAATTTTCTTTTCAGCTTTGTGTATATATGGATCCTCAGCGCGTTTATTACTCTTATCTGATGAAGGACGATGTGTCCGAAAGCTTATGTTCATGCTAATAAAAAGAAGCTCCTCTTCCCACTTTGTAAACTCGTTATTAATGAATACTTTGTTACAATATATATATTGTTAAATCCATAGCCATATATACATGTATATTCATCTAAAGAGTATCATTAGAATAATGGTCAATAGCCACATTCATGTAAAGTGTAACAGTACAAGTGTATTGATGAACAAGAATCGGGAATAAAGATATCAATCAGCCATCATCGTTGCTCTGCACATCGACAGAGAGATCCTCAACAAGATACTAAACTTTCTTGAGCTTCCAAAGACATTGTTTATCATGTCAAAAAGCAGATTGACACTGAGGGAACGTATGCAAGAAAGAAGAACTCGCGTGGATCGGATAAAAGCTGCATAATTTGTCTAAAATGTCAAAGAGTAGATTTATGGAGATCCAGGGAAAGGCATGAAGACCATCATCAGGACGATGGGCCCTATATTAATTGTCGTAGCTGTCCATGAAGACCCCATGGTCTCATGTCCTATGCCCTTAAGAAATACCAGTTGCTGATTGAAGATAAGAAAGATAACAGAAAAGGAACGGTTTCTGCAATCCTAACCTAAAATATTACTCACGTGTTTATCCGAGGTTCTTATTTGATGAAAATAACTTCGAAGAGCACCAAAAGTTGAAACACAGGAATGATCTTTGAATCTAAAGAACAATCCTGTCGTGATACACATGAGATTTCCTGTCTTTGTGATGGCCCTTGGCGTCATCAGCAGTAAGGGTAATGTCATGTCTTCACATTTCTACGAGCGTGTTATCAGGATTAAGACAGTAGATTTATTTTATTATCCCTAGTACACGTGGTACAGGCCATGATAATCATATTGGGTGTGACGCGACCATAGGTACTTTTGGGCCAACCGAGCGCTGGCAACACTGCACCCGCTGCCCCCCGCGCATGCGCGAGCAAAAAAAGAATACCCTGCATCTCCGGTAAACAAAGCTGTCTCGACGCCAACGTTTGGTTTTGACAGGCCTGAAAAAAGAACTATCTCTCATAAATTTTAATAATTGGTTTTAAATAATATTTGTATTAATATATTAATTTGTGTGATTTTTAAATAAATATTTCTTTCAATAAGAATTAAATTATTCATCACTGTTTTCTACTTTAGGCCTCGCCATCCAGCGTTGTGACTCAATTCTTCTGATCACTGCAACAAAGATATTGATTTATCAATTTATAATTTTCAAGTCAGTTTCCAGCATTACTGTAAAGCTAGGAGCTTTTAGTTCAGGTTAAGCCATCGGGACCTTGTATTGTCTTTTTTTTTTCAAATTTAAGACAAGACAACATTTTGGCGCAGCCGACAGGATACAGATTGAAGAATTAGTGATTACACAAAGGTGCAACTGTGAACCAGTGATTACTTCTCAGGATGGCTGACCAACCAGTTAGTAGTGCTGAACTGAAAAAGCTTAGGACGCCAGTGCGTGCAAGATTCACCAAGGCGTTCAATGAGCTCGAAACAAAGATCAAGAAGAAGGAAGTCAAGAAAGCAGATGTAGAGAAAATCCTCCGCCGACTTCAGACCCACCATGAAAAGCTTTCAATATTGAACATGAGGATGGAAGAAGCTCTGCTACGAGAATCAGCGTCTGAAGACATTTTCACTGCCGAGTACGAATTCGTTTGTGAGTACGAAGATAATTTCAGTAACATTATGACTGATTACGAGGCTCTTGCAGAAAAGGATGACGTTAGTACATTCAGCGGCACAGCAGCAATGAACTATCGACTACCGAAGCTGGAGTTCAAGAAGTTTGGGGGAGAACCAAGAGAATGGATTACATTCTGGATTCAGTTCAGCACGATTGACCGGGATCCACAGATGCCTCCAGAAACTAAGTTTCAGTATCTCTTTCAAGCCACCGCCGAGAACTCCGAGGCAAGAGAAGCAGTCGAAAGTTTTCCATCGAGTGCCGACAACTACCCTAAAGTCATCGAGTATATCAAATCACGTTTTGGAGAGGATGAAATGCTTGTTGAGATTTATGTACGTGACCTGCTTCAGAATGTGCTTCAGAATGTGAGAGCCGAAGGTAAGATGTCTGTAGTGAAGCTTTACGATAGACTGGAGACACAACTGCGAGCATTAGAAACATTGGGCGTCGCTCGTGACAAGTTTGCGACTATGCTGTACCCACTCGTCGAATCAGCGCTACCAGAGGACACCCTTAGAGTATGGGAACGAAGTCAATATACGGTGAGCGGAAGAGGAGTACAGGATAAGTTGACACAACTCATGACGTTTTTGAAGACAGAAGTGAAGGGCGAGAGTCGAGTGAATATGGCCAAAGCAGCGTTCAAGATCGACAACAATCAAGATGCGAAGGATGATCGATTAAACAGGAAATATCTTTCTAAGAAGAATACTGGAAGTAAAATGCCGACGGCTACTGACCTCGCCAACACCACTCAGATGCGAAACAACTGCATATTTTGTGGGAATGGTCACCCGAGTCAAGAATGCTACAGTGGACAGCGGATGCATCTACCAGAGAAGAAAGGCTAAAGGGAAGAATGTTTGTTTTTGGTGCCTGCTTCCTGGCCACGGATTCAAGAAATGCCGGATTAAGCCACGTTGTCCTGTCTGCGGAGGGAAGCATTACCCCATTATGTGTCCTACTTTGGAAGCCCAGAAGACTTCTCATCTCCAAAAAGCGGAACTAAAGGCTTCAAGGGAAAGTCCTGCAACAAAGCAAAACTTTAAAAAACGCTACCGTGGGAGGAGTCTATCTACAAACTCTGATAGTCAAGATAAGCGGACCAAAGGGGAAGCATAATGTTCGAGTGTTGCTTGACTGTGGATCCCAGCGGTCCTATATTTCAAAGAGAATGGTGGACGCACTGGGCCTAAAGAGAGTGCAGCAAGTTACACTTACCCACAATCTGTTTGGAGGCGGAGAAATTCGTCAAAAGAAGCACAATGTGTACAAAGTAAATGTTTCCAGCCTCAACAACGAATACATGGATGATCTCAAATTCTTGGATCAGGAAGTAATTTGCGGACACATCAGTCAAGTACAGGATCATACTATACTCAATGAGTTAAAAGCTCGAGGGATCAACTTGACTGACATATGCCAAGGTGAAGAGATATCAATCCACATGTTGATTGGTTCAGACTTGCTTAGCAGCATTCTGACAGGCAGAATGCAAATATTGCAAAATGGAGTTGTGGCAACAGAAACCAAGTTGGGGTGGACAGTAATGGGACCAGCAATAGGGAAAGACATGGAAGATTCATGCCTGATCGTGACTTCATTTCACGTTAACAGTTTCGACGTTCAGGATTTATGGAAATTATATGTGCTTGGCATCATGGATGCAGCAGAAACAAAATCTAGGAAAGATTTATTCGAAGCCTCCAACACTCATTTCAAGGAGACTGTGAAACGAGACGAAAGCGGAAGGTACATCGTGTCACTACCATGGGTAGCTGGACATCCACCAGTTCCGGTCAATCGCCGAACTACAGAAAATAGATTGCTGACTACAACAAGGAATGTCCAGGGCAAGATGCTGTATGAGAAGTATGATACTATTTTTGAGGAGTGGGAAAAAGAGAGATTCATCGAGGAAGTTGAGGATAAATGGGAGGAGTGCAGTTATCTTCCTCATCGCCCAGTGCTCAAGGATAGTCACACCACTCCTATTCGTCCAGTATTCGACGCAAGTTGCAAGAAAAAGGGGCTCCCATAATTAAATCATTGTCTGGAAAAAGGAGACAACCTGATTGAGCTCATTCCTGATTTGCTCTTGCGGTTTAGACTTGGAAAGTATGGCATCATTGCAGACATGCGAAAAGCTTTTCTTCAGATTCAGGTTCGAGAAGAAGATCGTGAATTCCTTCGGTTCCTTTGGTGGAAAAAGGACCAGAAGACACTAAAATTTTACAGGCATTGCCGAGTAGTCTTTGGCCTTACCTCAAGTCCTTTTCTGCTAGCTGCAACTATTAAGTATCATTTGAGCCTGCCGCAGTTTCAAGATAATAGGTGCGCAGAACTTCTTGCCCGAAGTTTTTACGTTGACAACTGCATTCTTAGTTTGTCATCTACACATGATTTCAAAAAGTTTATCAAGGAATCCTCCGACATCATGATGCAAGCCAAATTTGAGTTACGAGACTGGATGTGGAATGAACCTGGAATCACAGAACAAGATCCAGACTCTATTTTGGGTATGAAATGACACCTTCAGACTGACACTATTGCCATTAATGTGCAGTCATTGAAAAATATAGATGAAGAAAAATCAATCACAAAGAGAAGTATCTTGTCAGCCTGCCATCGCATTTTTGATCCGATTCAATTTACCTGTCCAGCTACAATCAAGATTAAGAAGATGGTTCAAGATGCTTGGAAGGAGAATAAATCATGGGATGAACAGCTGAACGAAGACAGACGGGTCGAGTTCATAAAATGGAGGAAGCAAGCTTTAGAATTGGATCAGATCAAGATACCTCGATGGATCTTACCTATCAAAGGAAGAACAACATTGCACGTGTTTTGTGACGCTTCAGCTATAGCGTACGCAACGGTGATCTTCATGCGAATAGAGAATGCGTCAGTCAAAGTAGTGCGATTTGTTGAAGCAAGAAATCGACTGGCAACTATTAAGAGGATCACGATTCAACGACTGGAACTATTAGCCTGTTTGATTGGAGCACGACTGTTGGTGCATGTTCTGGAAAATTTAGAAGAAAGTCCGGAGAAGATTCAATGTTCGACAGACTCCAGTCCTGCCCTATACTGGATACAACAACAAGAGAATTGGGCTCAGTTCGTTTCCAACCGTGTCAAGGAGATCACAACACTTACGAAGAGTGAAGATTGGAACCATGTCGCAGGGGAACACAATCCAGCAGATCTCCCATCCCGTGGTGAATCCCCATCGAAATTCACAAAATCCGGATGGTGGGAGAGACCAAAATGGCTTCAGGAAAAGAAAGAAGACTGGCCAGTATCAAAAGTACAGTATGATCTGGAAGCCATTGAAGAAGAGAGGAGGAAGACTGTGGTGGCTGGATTTGTAGCCAAAAAGCCCGAGGAGAATCCATGGTATCTGAATCTATACGAGGGAAAACGTGAAGTGACTCTAACACAAATACTGAGAGTAATCGCGTGGATGCTACGTTTCAAGCCCTCTGAATACAAAGGAGATATCATCTTACAAGAGGAGCTAGACAGTGCTAAAAAGTCCCTAGTTAAGATAATACAGAGTGAATCGATCGGTGAGGAAGATCCCAAGATGAAGCAGCTACACGCGTTCCAAGATAAAGAAGGATTATGGAGAGTGAAAACGAGGATAGTGAATCGAAATGACGATGAACTGTTCCGATTGCCAATTTTGATCCCAACGAATCATCCGGTCACAGAGCTAATTGTGAAATCAGTCCACGAGAAAATGTACCACTGTGGAGCCCAGACGCTGCGATCAGTACTAAGAGAGAAGTTCTGGATTCCAAAAGCTCGACAACTATTTCGTCATGTAATTCATAAATGTCCTCGCTGTCGACGATTTGAAACCAAGCGAGTCGACGTACCAGAAGCATCGTTGCCTCAACATCGCGTACGAGATGTTGTGGTTTTTGAGGTGACAAGAATTGACCTCGGAGAACCTTTATATCTGGAAGATGGACAGAAGGTTTGGTTCGTCATCTTCATCTGTGGCGTATACCGTGCGGTCCACCTCGAACTGGTGACTTCCTTATCGACGGAAGCATTAGTGGGAGCAGTAGAGAGGTTCGTACCAAGACGAGGTTGCCCTGCAGTCATCTACTCAGTAATGGGACGAATCTAGTTGGACTCCGGAACGAGCTTTATCGAGTTAATTTTGGAGTGAAATGGAAGCTCAATCCTCCGGCAGCACCGTGGTGGGGAGGTTGGATCGAGAGAATTGTTGGACTCACCAAAAAGCTGCTTCGAAGATTGCTGGGAAAACGTGTTGTCAACTACGAAGAAATGGTGACGATCCTCGAAAACTGTGAACGAGTTATCAACGCGCGACCACTCACCTACATTGCTGAGGACAATGATGACCTTGTGCCATTAACCCCAGAGATGTTTCTTCGAGAACCAAGAGCCGAAGGAGAGATTGATCTAAATGAATTCAGGTGTAACTTTGGGAAGAGCTATGAGAAACGCAAACGACTCCTGAAGGAATTCCGTAAGAGGTTCAGAAGCAAGTACCTAGGATTGTTGGTGCATCACGACAATCGCAAGAAACAACGACAGTTAAAAGTTGGAGATATCGTCCTTGTGGGGGTTGAAAACAGGAAGCAAATAAACTGGCCTATGGGAAAGATTACGAAGGTGTTTCCTGGAACTGACAATGTGCGAAGACTTGTGGAAGTTAAGACTAAGTCTGGATTCATGAAGCGTGCAGTTCAACGATTGTTCCCACTTGAAGTACCATCTGAGGACGTAGAGCAAGGCGACGGGGAGCTTAAGCCAGCGGAGGATGAGATCGTCAGGGAGAAAACACCCGGTGTGGACTCCGTGTCAGTGCAAGAGAAAACTACTCCAGTAAAAGTAGGGAAAGTTTACACGCGTTCTGGAAGAAAAGTCAAGTTACCGATTAGGTTTAAGTGAAGTTTGAGAGAAAATTTAATCATAAAACATTCTGTTAGATTTGAGATAATTCCTTCTTTGTTTTTTTTTTATTAATATTGACCTTATAGCAAAGTTCAAAAGGTCAAGGTGGGAGAGTGACGCGACCATAGGTACTTTTGGGCCAACCGAGCGCTGGCAACACTGCACCCGCTGCCCTCCGCGCATGCGCGAGCAAAAAAAGAATACCCCGCATCTCCGGTAAACAAAGCTGTCTCGACGCCAACGTTTGGTTTTGACAGGCCTGAAAAAAGAACTATCTCTCATAAATTTTAATAATTGGTTTTGAATAATATTTGTATTAATATTAATTTGTGTGATTTTTAAATAAATATTTCTTTCAATAAGTATTAAATTATTCATCACTGTTTTCTACTTTAGGCCTCGCCATCCAGCGTTGTGACTCAATTCTTCTGATCCCTGCAACAAAGATATTGATTTATCAATTTATAATTTTCAAGTCAGTTTCCAGCATTACTGTAAAGCTAGGAGCTTTTAGTTCAGGTTAAGCCATCGGGACCTTGTATTGTCTTTTTTTTCAAATTTAAGACAAGACAACAGGGTGGAAGTAGGCGACTGATTTTTTTACTGTAAGTGCACCACACATACATATCATATGACCACCCAGTTGTTGAGGTCCACGAGCCGGCGTTATGTAATATACAGTAAAATTTCGTTACACATAACACTTCAGCTTATAAACGCTCCCTCCTTGGTCCCAAATTGTCTCTTTTGACTCCTCATAAACAACGCTCTTCCGTTTATTAAACCCTTTAGACCAAGACTAGAGAATAATCTCGTCATTACGAAATCTTATTGTCGTTCTTTAGAACTGAATCAAAGCCTACGCAAATCCAGGCTTCGAACTAACCTACTGTCTAAGGAAAGCGAAAGAAGAAAGAAAATCGAAGCAACACAATTGTAATTTTATTCAGCCTCGTTTTTCTTCCAAATAATAGCAATCAGCATGAATAATTGAAACCATTTTTTGGTTGTTTTCTACCCCCGCCACACAATGGCACTATTCAATGGTAAGTAGATGGAATTGTTCCAGCATTAGGTAATAGCATGGAGCAAATCTAATTAAGTAAAACCAACACGGCAACCAAGGCAAACCCAGAAGTTCTATTGAACATAATGTGAATCAAGAACTGTTCTACCTCGATTCTTACCTCAACTACCTCTATGAACGTCCCTTCTACTCTCATTCCTTATAAATCTTGAGATGTAAGTGGAAAATGAAGACCCTTGATCCTCAACTACCTCTCCGAACGTCACTTTCACTCTCGTTCCTTATAAATCTTGAGATGAAGGTGGGAAATGAAGACCCTTGATCCTCAACTACCTCACCGAACTCCCTTCTACTCTCGTTCCTTATAAATCTTGAGATGAAGGTAGGAAATGAAGACCCTTGATCCTCAACTACCTCTCCGAACGTCACTTCTACTCTCGTTCCTTATCAATCTTGAGATGTAAGTGGGAAATGAAGACCCTTGATCCTCAACTACCTCTCCGAACGTCACTTTCACTCTCGTTCCTTATAAATCTTGAGATGAAGGTGGGAAATGAAGACCCTTGATCCTCAACTACCTCACCGAACGTCCCTTCTACTCTCGTTCCTTATAAATCTTGAGAAGAAGGTGGAAAATGAAGACCCTTGATCCTAAACTACCCGAACGTCCCTTCTACTCTCGTTCTTTATAAATCTTGAGATGACGGTGTGAAATGAAGACCCTTGATCCTCAACTACCTCACCGAACGTCCCTTCTACTCTTGTTCCTTATAAATCTTGAGAAGAAGGTGGAAAATGAAGACCCTTGATCCTAAACTACCCGAACGTCCCTTCTACTCTCGTTCTTTATAAATCTTGAGATGACGGTGTGAAATGAAGACCCTTGATCCTCAACTACCTCACCGAACGTCCCTTCTACTCTCGTTCCGTATAAATCTTGAGATGTAAGTGGGAAATGAAGACCCTTGATCCTCAACTACCTCTCCGAACATCACTTCTACTCTCGTTCCTTATAAATCTTGAGATGAAGGTGGGAAATGAAGACCCTTGATCCTCAACTACCTCACCGAACGTCACTTCTAATCTCGTTCCTTATAAATCTTGAGATGTAAGTGGGAAATGAAGACCCTTGATCCTCAACTACCTCTCCGAAAGTCACTTCTACTCTCGTTCTTTATGATTCTTGAGATGACGGTGGGAAATGAAGACCCTTGATCCTCAACTACCTCTCCGAACGTCACTTCTACTCTCGTTCCTTATAAATCTTGAGATGAAGGTGGGAAATGAAGACCCTTGTTCCTCATCTACCTCACCGAACGTCACTTCTACTCTCGTTCCGTATAAATCTTGAGATGTAAGTGGGAAATGAAGACCCTTGATCCTCAACTACCTCACCGAACGTTCCTTCTACTCTCGTTCCTTATAAATCTTGAGATGAAGGTGAAAAATGAAGACCCTTGATCCTCAACTACCTCACCGAACGTCACTTCTAATCTCGTTCCTTATAAATCTTGAGATGTAAGTGGGAAATGAAGACCCTTGATCCTCAACTACCTCTCCGAATGTCACTTCTACTCTCGTTCTTTATGATTCTTGAGATGACGGTGGGAAATGAAGACCCTTGATCCTCAACTACCTCTCCGAACGTCACTTCTACTCTCGTTCCTTATAAATCTTGAGATAAAGGTGGGAAATGAAGACCCTTGATCCTCAACTACCTCACCGAATGTCACTTCTACTCTCGTTCTTTATGATTCTTGAGATGACGGTTGGAAATGACGACCCTTGATCCTCAACTACCTCTCCGAACGTCACTTCTACTCTCGTTCCTTATAAATCTTGAGATGAAGGTGGGAAATGAAGACCCTTGATCCTCAACTACCTCACCGAACGTTCCTTCTACTCTCGTTCCTTATAAATCTTGAGAAGAAGGTGGAAAATGAAGACCCTTGATCCTAAACTACCCGAACGTCCCTTCTACTCTCGTTCTTTATAAATCTTGAGATGACGGTGGGAAATGAAGACCCTTGATCCTCAACTACCTCTCCGAACGTCACTTCTACTCTTGTTCCTTATAAATCTTGAGATGAAGGTAGGAAATGAAGACCCTTGATCCTCAACTACCTCTCCGAACGTCACTTCTACTCTGGTTCCTTATAAATCTTGAGATGAAGGTAGGAAATGAAGACCCTTGATCCTCAACTACCTCTCTGAACGTCACTTCTACTCTCGTTCCTTATAAATCTTGAGATGAAGGTGGGAAATGAAGACCCTTGATCCTCAACTACCGCACTGAACGTCACTTCTACTCTCGTTCCTTATGAATCTTGAGGTGAAGGTGGGAAATGAATACCCTTGATCCTCAACTACCTCTCCGAACGTCACTTCTAATCTCGTTCCTTATAAATCTTAGGATGAAGGTGGGAAATGAAGATCCTTGATTCTCAACTACCTCTCCGAACGTCACTTCTGCTCTCCTTCCTTATAAATCTTGAGGTGAAGGTGGGAAATGAAGACCCTTTTTCCTCAACTACCTCACCGAACGTCACTTCTAATCTCGTTCCTTATAAATCTCGAGATGAAGGTGGGAAATGAAGACCCTTGATCCTCAACTACATCTCCGAACGTTACTTCTATTCTCGTTCCTTATAAATCTTGAGATGAAGGTGGGAAATGAAGACCCTTGACCCTCAACTACCTCTCCGAACATCACTTCTACTCTCGTTCCTTATAAATCTTGAGATGAAGGTGGGAAATGAAGACCCTTGATCCTCAACTACCTCACCGAACGTCACTTCTAATCTCGTTCCTTATAAATCTTGAGATGTAAGTGGGAAATGAAGACCCTTGATCCTCAACTACCTCTCCGAAAGTCACTTCTACTCTCGTTCTTTATGATTCTTGAGATGACGGTGGGAAATGAAGACCCTTGATCCTCAACTACCTCTCCGAACGTCACTTCTACTCTCGTTCCTTATAAATCTTGAGATGAAGGTGGGAAATGAAGACCCTTGTTCCTCATCTACCTCACCGAACGTCACTTCTACTCTCGTTCCGTATAAATCTTGAGATGTAAGTGGGAAATGAAGACCCTTGATCCTCAACTACCTCACCGAACGTTCCTTCTACTCTCGTTCCTTATAAATCTTGAGATGAAGGTGAAAAATGAAGACCCTTGATCCTCAACTACCTCACCGAACGTCACTTCTAATCTCGTTCCTTATAAATCTTGAGATGTAAGTGGGAAATGAAGACCCTTGATCCTCAACTACCTCTCCGAATGTCACTTCTACTCTCGTTCTTTATGATTCTTGAGATGACGGTGGGAAATGAAGACCCTTGATCCTCAACTACCTCTCCGAACGTCACTTCTACTCTCGTTCCTTATAAATCTTGAGATAAAGGTGGGAAATGAAGACCCTTGATCCTCAACTACCTCACCGAATGTCACTTCTACTCTCGTTCTTTATGATTCTTGAGATGACGGTTGGAAATGACGACCCTTGATCCTCAACTACCTCTCCGAACGTCACTTCTACTCTCGTTCCTTATAAATCTTGAGATGAAGGTGGGAAATGAAGACCCTTGATCCTCAACTACCTCACCGAACGTTCCTTCTACTCTCGTTCCTTATAAATCTTGAGAAGAAGGTGGAAAATGAAGACCCTTGATCCTAAACTACCCGAACGTCCCTTCTACTCTCGTTCTTTATAAATCTTGAGATGACGGTGGGAAATGAAGACCCTTGATCCTCAACTACCTCTCCGAACGTCACTTCTACTCTTGTTCCTTATAAATCTTGAGATGAAGGTAGGAAATGAAGACCCTTGATCCTCAACTACCTCTCCGAACGTCACTTCTACTCTGGTTCCTTATAAATCTTGAGATGAAGGTAGGAAATGAAGACCCTTGATCCTCAACTACCTCTCTGAACGTCACTTCTACTCTCGTTCCTTATAAATCTTGAGATGAAGGTGGGAAATGAAGACCCTTGATCCTCAACTACCGCACTGAACGTCACTTCTACTCTCGTTCCTTATGAATCTTGAGGTGAAGGTGGGAAATGAATACCCTTGATCCTCAACTACCTCTCCGAACGTCACTTCTAATCTCGTTCCTTATAAATCTTAGGATGAAGGTGGGAAATGAAGATCCTTGATTCTCAACTACCTCTCCGAACGTCACTTCTGCTCTCCTTCCTTATAAATCTTGAGGTGAAGGTGGGAAATGAAGACCCTTTTTCCTCAACTACCTCACCGAACGTCACTTCTAATCTCGTTCCTTATAAATCTCGAGATGAAGGTGGGAAATGAAGACCCTTGATCCTCAACTACATCTCCGAACGTTACTTCTATTCTCGTTCCTTATAAATCTTGAGATGAAGGTGGGAAATGAAGACCCTTGACCCTCAACTACCTCTCCGAACGTCCCTTCTTACTTCTATTCTCACGTTCTTTATGAATCTTGAGATGAAGGGGAGAAATGAAGACTCCTTGCTCATCTGGAGGAGGGGAAGCCCCCCCGCCCCCGAGTGTATATAATTGTAAATATTAGTGTGTATATCATCTGAGAGAAAAAGTTACATCCAGG